CTATTTGTAAAACTTGAAAATTTTAGGTACCAAAATGTAAGACCAAAAAAATTTAGGTACCAAAATGTAATTTTTCATCGATATTTTGAGGACTTATATGCAAAAAAAAATAAATTGAGGTACTAGATATGCATATCTATTAAGTTTAGGTACCAAACTGTAATTTGTATTTGGGCATAGGTACAAATCCAAATCCATTTTTTATAAACCCAACCCAACCCAAAGTAAATGGGTATGAGTACAAACCCATCAAACTCTACCCCATGTCCATCTCTTTGGATTTCATACCCAACCCAATTGGTTATGTCCATCTTTTTAGTTAAAAACCCATGGGTATGGGCAAAATTGCCATCCCTACTTTCGAGCCTACATATATGCAGGCAATTTGCGGCCCCTGAGAGTAGCTGAAAGTGCAATGCTTCTATCAAAAACCTCTGCCAGGATGAATTCATTTGCCCGGGCATCGATGCTCCGATCCCGAAGTTGACAAATAGGAACCTGGGGTCTCCCTAACCAATTGCCCCACTGAATCAGAGCCTCCCAAAGTAGGGAGTAGAGGGTAAAGTACGATAATGCGGAAGCAAAAGTACACGACACAAAGAATTACGTGGTATCCCCGTTCAATATGAACGGGACTAATCCACGGAGCTAGAAGCTCTCGGCTGAAGTTTTACTAGTCGTCTGTAGTTTCTTGGAGAGAGGCGGGAGGCGGCCAACTCTCTTAAGTACAAAGCAAACGAAATCATATTCCCATCTACACATGCAATGTGGGATTTAGGCAAATAATAGAAGGACCCCTACTAATATGGTAAATTACAAAAAAGATCCCCAATACTCCCCCTCAAGCGAACGAGTGAATATCAAGAAGTCCGAGCTTGCCGAAGAGATGATGAAACTGATCAACACTCTCAATCCCTTCGTGAACAAATCAACTGGCTGATCGACAGTGGCAATCTTTCGAGGAGCAACATCACGAGACTGAACACGTTCCCGAACGAAGTAACAATCCATCTCAACGTGTTTAGTCCACTCGTGAAAAATAGGGTTAGCAGCAATGTGCGAAGCTGCTTGATTATCACAAAACAACGGAGTCGGACCAGTGGAGGGGACACCCAAGTCACGCAGCAACCAGCGAAGCCAAAGAAGTTCACTCACTATGCTGGCCATGGCGCGATATTCAACTTTAGCTGAAGAGCGGGCAACAACAGTCTGCTTCTTAGTACGTCAGGAGATAGGAGACGACCCAAGCATGATGAAATACCCAGTAGTAGAGTGGCGAGTGAGGGGACAACCACCCTAGTCTGCATCACAAAAAGCGGTGAGAGTGAGAGAGGATAAATGATGACTCGGTATTTGCACATGTTTTCCCCTTTGTTTCTTGATTGTTTGAGCTTGAATTATTGCGTCTTTGGCCTATTTTATGCTAGGTTGTGTTCCTTTGTCCCATTTCAGGTCCTAGCACATAAAGTGAAGCATAGGCGCAAGTTTCAAGTCAATCAGAGATCAATTGACGATTCGAGAGAAGAAACTCGGGCATGACCTGAAGAAGAATGGATTTCTACCTCACTTTATGGACAAAGAATCATGCAAGCTTGTTATGAAACGAAAGAGGACGAGACTACGAGCGTCTGGGATCAAACGGCGACTGATTCGGAGTCCGGACGAGGGAGAAACGAAGCATTAAACAGAGGCTGAGCAAGCCACACGGGCAGAGCAGAAAATCAACACGGCCGTGCAAGGTGAGATGCACGGCCGTGCAAGGTGAGCTGCACGGCCGTGCGACACTGGCCGTGTAAGAAGCCTGGTATTCAACTAATCGATACGCTGCGTTTTGACTCGCACGGGCTACTGGGTGAGCTGCACGGCCGTGCGGCCTGCCCGTGTGAGTCGGGAATTGCTGTTTAAAACCCGATTTTCAGCCAAAGGAGAAGAGAGAGCTGGGTTTTGGATCCCAAACACCCAAGGGCCGAACCCTAGAGAGAGAGAGCGACTTGGGAACATTCTTGGAGCTATTTTGGAGGATTTCTTCGCCATTGGAGCTCGGGAATCAAGCTTGGAGATGGAGATTGAAGATCTAGATCAGATTTCTGCAGTCTCTCTCTTCTCTATGGAGTAACTTCCCTTCACTTAGGTTTTGAGGAACCTTAGTTCCATGAGTTAGGATCTTTCTTGTATGAAGTTTTGGATGCTATATTGTTTGATTATAATCGAATGATGCATGTTTATTGAGTCAATTGAAGTCTGATTAACTTTTCCTGATTCCTGCTGCAATCTGAGATAGATAGAATCTGATTAGGTTGCTAGAGTCTCATCATTCGGTAGTAGGAGATTGGCTATACGAGAGTTAGCCAGTTTACTGCTTTGTACTGGAATCCAATTCCAGTAGTGGAGTTCTGTGCTTATTGCTTCAGCTTTCTATCCCGGTGAAGACTAGTCGTCTGCCGGATAGTTAGACTGAGAGGGCTTGGTCAGCTTAAGAGATTCCAAGCTACTGTCGGATCTTCCGCAGTTTAATCAACAGTAAATCAACCAAAAGGAATTACAACTTGGACCTAATTGAGGAGCTAGGGGGAATCATACCTAAGTGAGTTCGCAACTTGTAATTAGTAGAGTAGTCAGTAGAGTAGTTTATCAATCAATCCTTAATCTAGTTTGCTAGATAATGAACTGAAGCTGAGTAATAGTAACTCTAGAGACCCATGGATTCGATATTTATTACTTGTGCCACTATACTGCAGTCCCTTTCATTGGTTACACTTGGCCATTGTTAGGTGTTGTTTTTTAGCGAGTCACCATCCCAATCAGCTTCTTTGAGGGTAAGTCCTGGATAATACAGAAGTCACTTAAGAAGATAAATGTAACCGGAAGATCGGCAGTAAGACGACTGACTGAGAGCAAGTTGCACTGAAAATCGGGAACATGTAGAACACGACGCAATTGCTGTTTACTAGATAATCTGCTTGTGCCAATACGATGAACTCTAACCCCCGTCCCATTGGGAATTTTAACCTGTAAATTTGGTGATGAGTCTAACTCGGTATCCAATAGAGAAGCATCATTAACAATATGCTCCATACAACCTGAATCAATAACCCAAGTAGAAGAAGTAACAGGAAATTTACTTGCCATATTGGTAGAAGGCTCGAGAGGAGAGGAATTGTTGGACATCACATCTCCACCCAAGCATCGCCTTCAGCTGCGCAAACTGAGAGGCCAGGTAGAGGGCTTCTCGCGGCATCCACTTGAGCCACTTGAGGTTTAGGTCTCCCTCCCTTCTCAGTCCGACGACGCGGAGGATCCGCCTTCTCCCCATTCTTTGACGGGAATCCGATGAGCCGGTAACAAGTGTCCCGAAAGTGACCAACGCGCTGACAATGACTGCAACGCGGTTTACCATCCGGGTCTCGTTCCTTGTCGCGATCACCCTGAAGCCGCTCCCCCTCACGTACTGCACGTTATCTGTGCTTCATATCGCAAGTACAACCAGCACAAGTACAATCCCATGGTGGTGTAAGGGCTTCAATTTCATCCCATAACCCTCGCAGCTTGGTATAGGAGGTCGAGACTGAGGTCTTCTCCTGCTGCAATCTACTTATCGTGCCCTTCAACTCATAAAGACAAGATGAACTCCCTTGTCTAAAACGAGATTGTAAATCAACCCAAATTTCACGGGCTGTTTGAGCAAATCGAACACTGTTACGAACCTTCTTTGTCATAGAGGTTTTTAACTAACCTTTAACCATTGCATTACAGTGCCGCAAAGCCTCCTTTTCGGCGGGTGTCTTAGCAATTAGAAGGGTGCCATCAACAAAGCTGATTTTGTTTTTAGCAATAAGGGAATCAGTGATATCAACAACCCACTCACCGTAATTGACATCGGTGAGCAGATCCGCAATGAACATATGATTAGGGCTTTCGAACTGATGGAGTTGAAGATGAGACGGGAGACCGACATGATTAGCCGCGATCGTTGCAGTCGACGCCGAGACCTTGGTAGAAGATTCATCGTCTGATACCATGAAACATAGAACTGTGGATCACTCTAGCACAACTCTGATACATGTAAAATACGATAATGCGGAAGAAAAAATAAACGACACCAAGAATTACGTGGTATCCCCGTTCAATATGAATGATACTAATCCACGGAGAGCTAGAAGCTCTCGGCTGAAGTTTTACTAGTCGGCTGTAGTTTCTTGGAGAGAGGTAGGAGGCGGCCAACTCTCTTAAGTACAAAGCAAACGAAAACCTAATCCTATCGACACATGAAACATGGGATTTAGGCAAATAACAGAAGGACCCCTACTAATATTGTAAATTACAATAGAGATTCCCAATATAGAGCACCCGTGCAGCCAAGACATTAGCCAGATAAGGGTCACTGATGATACCATCATGTTGCAATCCCCGAGTGAAAAGCACAGACCCAAGCCAGATGCATACACACACTTCAGAATTCCGACCTCACCTCTCAATCAATATGCTGTTTGTAAGACTCCTTCCGCTCCGCTCGAGTCCAGCAAAATCAAGCACTGTTGCCTAACAAGAAAAATAAGAAGATCAGATTAACCCACTCAAACAAAGAAAAGGCATTTGGAATCGAGAAATTATTATTGATTGCCAATTATGAACACACAACTTGTTTCCTGATAACTTTTTATTTACACGGAGAGAAAGCCTGACCTGAGTGTGTGTGCGTGTGAGAGAGAGATCCACAGAGTCAAGATGATAGCCAGGTAACCAACATCTTCCTCATCATCCCAGTGGTGGATGTGCTCAGTTTCCAGCATTAAGTTCCACAGAGGTCACAATAGGGCGCATGTTGACGTACATCAGCTTTGGGTTCCCATGCCGTGCATTAGCCCAGGGAATATGTCACCAATCCCTGCGCAAATATTTCCTTCATTCTATTTCTTTGGCTGCAATGCAAGGCATTCTTAAACAATCATTGGCGTTGCTACAGTTGTTCACATCTGGCAGATGCTGTTTACAAATATGGATCACCAGTAATCTCCACATGAGCACTCGCCATCTCTGAAATGGTGAAACCGACTACTGTCTCTGACGACTATCTCCCTCCCGACTATCTCCGAGATAAACTTAATCACGGTATGGCAGTCCACACACACTTTGATGTTCTTTATAACTCGAATTGTTGTTCCGTCAGGGGTGCTCATGATGCCAAATGCTATTGCACGTCTCTTACTGTGACCATACAACAAGTACTTCTTCTGCTCGTCATCAACATCATGCGACACCTCACTTGTGTAAGCAACATACCCCGCTTGCTCCATTTTCTCTAGCAGTTCACGGATAGCATCGTTTATCTCATCACGCTGCGGATGGGACTGGTCATCTGCGATAAAGTATGAACCTTGTTCTTCACTTCTACCCAACTACAAGCAGGTTTTTTCCTTATCCCCATACTCCTCATGGTCATTCGTACCTTTGCAGCTTCCTTCCATCTGCCATCATTTGCATATATATTAGACAAAAGAACTCGAGCACCGGTATTCTCCAGATCAATCTCGAATATCTTGGTTACGACCTTCTCAGCCAAGTCGACATTCTTATGGACCCTAAAAGCAGAGAGTAGCAAAGACCAAATAGTACCTGTTGGCGTACTCATGGTACTGATGAGTTGATAAGCATCATTCAGCTTTCCCTTTCGACTATAAAGGTCTGCCATTGCAGCATAGTGTTCTAACCTTGGTCTAATACCATATTCCTCGGTCATTTGATCAAAGTATCTTCGACCTTCATCGATCATGCTAGCATGACTACAAGCAGTTAAGATAGCCGCGAGTGCCACATGATTTCGTCGAATTCCTTCCAATTTCATCTGCTCGAATAACGAGATGAAATCTTGAGCATAACCATGTAAATCAAAACCCATTATCATGGTTGTCCATGATACCATGTCACGTCCCTTTATGTCGTCAAAAATCCATCTAGCTATCCTAATATGACCACATTTGGCATACATATCCACCAATGAACTAGAAATAAACACATTATCATCAAATCCACACCTCAGTATGTATCCATGAAGCTGCTTTCCCAAATTCAATGTGGTAAAGTGAGCACAAGCTGGCATGATGCTCGAGAATGAAACGCTACCTAGTATAACATTGTCCCTCAACATCTGTCGAAAAAGCCTTAAGCCTTCATCAAACATACTATTATGCACGCAACCAGCAATAACTGAGTTCCAGGAAATGGCGTAACGTTGAGGAGTAACCTTGAACACACGTATCGAGTCTTCCACTCGAGAACACCTCGAGTACATGTTGATCAAGCTGTTGGCAACGTACAGGTCCTTCTCAAAGCCATATCTAATAACATAACCATGAATCTCCTTTCCCTTAGCGACATCCACGTATTGGGCAAAGATAGGAAGTATGGATGACAAAGTAAATATGTCGGGTTTCAGCCCAGCGTTTCCCATCTCCCTAACCATCACCAAAGCATCTTCGTGAAGTCCATTTTGTACATTCCCTGCAATTACAGTGTTCCAAGATATAATATCTCTTGTTGGCATCATCTCAAATACCTTCTTCATGCTGCTATCCACCCGCGAACCGATTCTACTTCTACCGTCGAAGCAACTACCAAGCTGAGGAAAAATATCTACAAACCGTCTCAGGACAGTGTTGGCACTAATAGCCTGCGCATCCTCGTTTTCTTTCGACTGTTGGCATGCAAATAGACTATCAACAGTTCTCTCAGATATTCCATCGAACACCTTACGCTTCTCACTTTCGCGCCACTCACTCTCGGCCAAGCTCTAGAGCTTTGCGTACATGTTAATGAGGGCATTCCCAATAGTCAAATGAATGTCCATCCCCAACCTAATAATGCACCCATGAACCGCCTCCCCCAATCTCAAATCCAGCAAGATTGCGCAAGCTTTCAGGACGGAAGGGAACACACTGTGATCAGGGGTGTTACCAGAAGCTCTCATGATATAATCAAAGTTGCGCAGCGTCAGGCTTCTCGAACCAAACAGAACCGGATAGGATGGAAATCGATCAGACAGTACTCACCCGTGAATAAGGGCAATCGATATATGAATCGATCGGACAGATTCAACTTGGAATAAAGGGCAATCGATATGGGCAGCTCGCCACAACCAGGGTGAATAAGTAGCTGATAAGAGTTGCTCTAGCACTCTAGAGATTCTCGACAGAGTAATTAGGGCAAATTTCGCATAGGGAACTCGGCTTTAGCCTCTGAAATTCAATAATAATCGTCTTAGGGAAAACCAACGTGTTCAGTCCTTTAAATAGGCAAAGTACAACCCAAATCCGACTCCAACATGGAAAAACAATCATAAACCGACTTTAAAACAAGGAAACTCGAAAACAGCCCAGCAAACCCGTTAATCCCAAACCGTTAAGCCTGGACCCGTTAAGTAAATCCGTTAAGGCTGCTTCTTGCAATCTGCATTCTCTTCAGCACTTCCTCCTTCTTCCTCCACTCGAATCATCATATATGGCTTCCCTCGAAATAGCTCCACGTCCATGGCTCCAAAGTAGCTCTCCAAATATGTCGCAAGCTTCTCCTTCTCGTATGGAAGATATTTTCTCGCTGTTCACTCTCCTCCTTAGGCTGCACAGACAATACTCTCCATGCTACAAATAAACTACCTGGAGGTGGTTCCATTTCCATAGACTCATCGACATCAGAATCCGTGGTCTCTTCCTCTTCCTCCGATATATACTCGCCATTATCAAGCAAGATCAGGGTCTTCTTATTGGCACACTAGCTCGCAATGTGTCCTCTTCCATGGCATTTGAAACAACGAATTTCCCCCGATGATCCACCTTGCTTCATAACTGGATTTGCACCATCAGCCCTTGCCGCGGGTCTAGGAGCTTCTTTCACGGGCAGTTGCGGCTTAGGGTTGGTTGCAACTCCTTGGCTCGAACGTGTGGAATTCGTGGAGGGTTGAAACCTCCTATTTCGAAGCTGCCGTTCCACTTTACTTGCCATATCCACCAAATCTTCAAGTTCAAGGAACGGTTGTATCTCCACCATGTTCTTGACCTCTCGATTGAGACCATACAGAAAAGGAGCTATGGTAGCCTCGCGGTCATCTATCACATCAGCACGTATCATCAACACTTCCAACTCCTTGTGATAATCTTCAACGCTTTTAGTTCCTTTTCGGAGAAGCTGGAGGTTTTGATACATATCTCGCAAATGGGAACTCGGTACAAACCGATCCCTCATAATTCCTTTCATCTCATCCCACGTCTCAATAGGACGCTGCCTGTTCCTCCTTCGTTTCGTTCCCAACTGATCCCACCAAACAAGTGCATAATCTGAGAACTCCAGGACAGCCAATGTCACTTTCCTCTTCTCGGAGTAGTTATGACAATCAAAGACTAGTTCCATCTTTTGCTCCCAACCCAAATAAGCATCAGGGTTCGTGGTACCGCGAAAAGGTGGAATCGTGACCTTGAGGTTTCGCAGCTCATCCTCCTCCTCAAAGCCCTCTTCTTACTCATCATTAAACTCCTCTTTATGATGCTGCTGCTTCCCTCTCCTTTCAGCTCGAGGCATTCCAAGGCGTCTATGCTGGCGCATATGACGCTCATGAACCAAGGGTGGAGGAGCTCGATTTTCCCTTCCCCTTTCTTCTTGTCGAGGTCTAGGGTTTGCATGGACCACAACCGGCTGCTGGAGCCTTGTCTCAACAGCCTCCATCCTCGTGGCTTGCTCAGCAAGCCTTGCTGTTTGCTCTTCTTGAGCACGAGCAATGTTCTCCAATTGATTCCTGATCGTTTCGAGTGCTGCTTCCATGTTTGCGATGCAAGAAAACTCCAAGAACACAAGAACTTAACAAGAACTCGCACAACCTGCTTATTGCCTCGCAAGAAACACCAAGAACTTCCCAACCAGGGTGAGTACCTAGCTGATAAGAGTCGCTCTAGCACTCTGGAGATTTTCGACAGAGTAATTAGGGCAAATTCCGTGTAGGGAACTCGGCTTTAGCCTCTGAAATTCAATAATAATCGTCTCAGGGCAAACCAACGTGTTCAGCCCTTTAAATAGGCAAAGTACAACCCAAATCCGACTCCAACATGGAAAAACAATCATAAACCGACTTTAAAACAAGGAAACTCAAAAACAGCCCAGCAAACCCGTTAAGCCCAAACCGTTAAGCCTGGACCTGTTAAGTAAACCCGTTAAGGCTGGACCCGTTAAGGCTGCTTCTTGCAATTTGCCTTCTCTTCAGCACTTCCTCCTTCTTCCTCCACTCGAATCATCATATATGGCTTCCTTCGAAATAGCTCCACGTTCATGGCTCCAAAGTAGCTCTCCAAATATGTCGCAAGTTTCTCCTTCAACGTCCTTGCCTTAGCACGTGTGACTGGCCCATTGATGTCCTCATCATTTCATGTCCACAAAAGAGGCCAACGATTCAACAAAGCATCCATTCACGGCGTAGCATTTTATGATGGATTTGTAGGAGAGAGAAGACGGACGGTGTAGGCTTCTAAACAGGAGCAAGGATTGGTTCAGGAGCTTGAAGTTGGAGTATACGCAGATGATTGTGGATGTGTAAAGAGGTGAGGACGGGTTGTGCTTGAGAATTTGGGCGTGGAGCTGCTTGGCTTCGGATTTGGAGGTGATCGTCCCCGGCCGTTTGAGAAGTACTTTCAGGAGCTGTTTAACTTCAAATTTGGTGGTGATGGCGCCTGGCTTTCTGAGCAACGCTTTGAGGAGGCCGAGTGTTGATGCCATTGTTGGTTAGCTTCTCAACCTCGGCTGACTCACTGACTTAATTTTGATGCAGAGACATGGGTCGGAAATTAAGACGGGTTGGACAAATGAGATGACCAAAGCCCAAGCATATGGTGGTAAGGAAGCAGTGGGCCTGAATCTGATTGCTTCAGTGTGATCCATGCTTATTTGGTAAAACAAACCAGTGAAACAAAATAACCCAATTTTGGAAAGCTATGAAATAAGTTTAGTGTGATTTTGGGTTAATTGCATGGTTGGTCATCGAGATTACAAAAAACGTTCAAGTTTGATCACTCGAAATATTTAAATCCATTTGTGGTACTTTAGTTTACTGAAACCGTTCATGTTTGGTCACTCTTCGTCCAACTCCGCTAATTTTTACTTAAGTGGCGGTCAACTCTAAAAGTTATCCGTTAAATGTGTGACATGACAATTAAAACTAATTTTTTATCCCCTCCAACAAACCTCAGACCTTCTTCTTTTCCCAGTAGAGCAGTACCACTCCACAATCCACTTCCCCCTCTACACACTTCCTTTCCTCACTCTTCTTCCCTTCCACTGGTAAAAATAATTCAATAAATCACTGTTTGACCAAAAAAGGCTTATTCTAATCTCACTCTCTTTCCTACCTTTCTCTTACAGGGGATCATCAGTTAGTTACTCGTTATTGGCTTGATGGAAAGCAGCAGCAAAGAGAAAGGAGTTCGAGCTGGTGGCGGAAGAGGAGCTGAGTTCGGATACTCACCACCACCCCCATCAGCAGCTCAGCAGCAGATGATTATGAGCCATCAGATCCACCACCAAGGCTTCGATTCCGCGTCGTCCGAGATCTTCAACCTCACCACCGGCAACGATATGATCGGCTTCTCCAACTCATCCGCCAAACCCCACTCTCCCACCGCCATGTGGAAACCCTTCGGCGAAAAGTCTGCTACCAGCGAACCCACCACCAGCCCGAGTTCAGCGCCGATGGCGAAGGGGTGGAGGCGGGGATGATGGCGGCGGTTGTGGAGGAGGATCCGATTAACAACAATAATTCATCGATGGTGTTTTCATGCTCAGGGAACGACTGGCCTAGCCAAGGGCTATCACTTTCTCTCTCCTCCACCCAGCCTTCCACCATCGGCCTCCAGTCCTTCGAGCTCATCCGCCACAAACACAACCACAACAACCAGAGACGTATTTGCCCTCGTTGGGAACGTTGATGGAATAAGGTCTAAGGTTTGTTGGAGGGGATAAAAAATTAGGGGGTTTTATATTTTATTTTTTAATATTTGTAAAAATGAGGTAGAAATTATACAAAGATTAAATTTTATTTTTTAATAATTTTTTAATTGTCACGTCACACATTTAACGGTCAACTTTTATAGTGAGCAAAAGTTAACGGAGTTGGACGGAGAGTGACCGAACATGAACGGTTTCAGTAAACTGAAGTACCACTAATGGATTTAAATATTTCGAGTGATCAAACTTAAACATTTTTTTAATCTCAGTGACCAACCATGCAATTAACCCTATTTTATATTTTAAGTATCATCATGATTGCATCGAACTCATTTAGAGTCCTAATTACATGCTAAAACTAAGTTGTTGATTTTCTCACTTTACATCTTCCATCATTCATATCACTAAGTGTTATGATTATCTCTATAAATTTCAATTCTAAACCATTTGTCCCAATTCTAACTCATTTGTCCTCGTTTTACAGATAATATTCGGAAGATTATTGAATTAACATCCACGAATTAGAAAAATTTGATGATCATTCGGGGATGATGCAGTTTCTCAAACCACATAATTATACAAATTTACGTTATATAAAATATTACAGGTATGATTACTAGTACTTATTTAAAATTATGTTGCAAAATATTAAAAACTATACTCACCCATAATAATTACCGATAACAATATTTTTTTTTGCATTAATGGAGGCCAAGGCCAAGAAAGAGAACAGAAAAACAGGCGGGGAAGGCAGAAAACAGAGAAGAGGAGCTATCTATCTCTTTGCACCACAATCCGGCGCTCAAAAGAAACTCCCTGATTATCCTCCTGAAGAACCCGACACAAGTCCCTTGGCGGGTCAAAAAGTTCTCTCACACCGTAGGGATAGACGAGACTGTGCTTCGAGAGCCAGTCCGAGGCTCTATTCCCCTCCCGGTATGTGTGAACAATATTGACCAGCCAATCCTGCCTCAAGAGCCGTCGAATCGACATCAAAATGCCAGCGTACGGGTGAATGGGATCCTGCCGATCCTTAATCAACTGGATAGCCAGCTGGGAATCCGATTCAACAATCAAGCTCGTGCACCTGCGGCGCCAGGCAATGTCCAGGCCATGCCGATTTTCCCACAGCTCAGCAAGAGCCGCTGAGGTCTCTCCAATCTTAGCCACAAAACCCGCTATCCATCGGCCCTGGTCATCTCTAATCAATCCGCCAGCCTCTGCGATCCCGGGATTTCCGGCCGAAGCCCCATCAACATTGAGCTTCATCCATCCCCTTGGGGGGGCAAGCCACCCAATACTCTCCACCCTCTCTTCTTGGATCATCCGAGGCTTACCTGGCACGATTGAAGGGGCACTCCAAGCCTTGTGCCACAGGTTGACTCTATCCATGATCGAGTGGCTCAGGGATGGGGCAGACAGAGTGGCTGTAGCCCCTTTGAAGCAGCCCGTGCACCTGTTCTTCCACAAGCACCAAATCGCTATGCTGAAGAAAGCATTCCAACTAACCTCTGCCACCATGACTTCCTCCTTGAGAAGGTTCTTCTGTAGCCAGTCTCCTGTAGAAGTTGAGAAGAAGGCTTGTTGGTCGGCCGCCGGCACGTGCCTACTCCAAAAGAACACAGCAGGCGGGCAATCACGGAGGACATGGCAAATGGTCTCGGCAGCATCTTCACAGCGGTAGCAGGAGGAGGATGAAGCGCACTTTCTAGAGAACCTGAGTTGGTTCGTAGCAATCTTGCCCAGGCAGACCAACCAGGCAAAACACCGGACTCTTTCCGGAACCGGGAGCCGCCAAATTTTCTTCCACATCTGGTGCCGGGGATCATGCTGAGGCGGATTCGCCAACTGGTAGGCTGATTTTGTTGAGAAGCGTCCGTTGGAGGATCCCGTCCAGAAGATCCTGTCCTTCTCGGTGGAGAGGGGGTCCACAGCCACCGCGGTCATCTTCTGCAGAACCTCCGCTGGCAGCCAAGAGGCCAACCGATCCACGTCCCACGATCCGTCCTCTCCAAGGTAGTCCGCAACAGAGTCCGACAGCATCTCACTCGGCACCGGCTGAAGGGCCATCTCCACGAGCGGGACCTGCACCAACCAAATATCACGCCAAAAATTAGTGTCTTTCCCGCTGTGAATATTCCACCCACAGCCTTGCTGCAGTAAACTCGAAGCTTTAGTAAAGCTTCTCCAGGCAAAGGAACTTCCCTGACTCGGGCGAAAGAGATCAAGTCCTTCCCTTTGGCGCCCATACTTGGCCCGAAAGAGTTGTGTCCAGAGGGAGTCCTTCTCCTGCATCAACCGCCAGCCCCCTTTAGCCAGGAGAGCCAAATTAGCTTGTCTCAGGGGTCGAAGTCCAGCCCCCCTTGACTCTTTGGCTCGGTTAGCTTCTCCCAGGCCACCAAATGCATTCTTCCTTGTTGCTCCCCCTCTCCCCATATGAAATCCCTGTTAATCCTATCAATAGATTTACAAACATTCATAGGGATGAGCTCCGTCTGCATAGGGTAAGTAGGGATAGCAAGAGACACAGATCGCGCCACCGTTAGCCTCGCAGCAAGGGAAAGACGCCTACCTTTCCAAGGAGCAAGCTTCTTCTGAATTTGGAGAATAAGGGGCTGGTATCTGCTCTTGGTGATCCTCCCATGGATAGCTTGCAAACCTAGGTAGCGCCCCAGATTGAGGGTCAACGGGATGCCAGCTCTGTCGCTCAGACGTTGCGCTCGATGTGGACCGATATTTGGTGAGACATAAAGCAGGGACTTGCTGAAATTCACTCTTTGGCCAGAGCTAGCACAAAAGTCGTCCAAGCATTCCTTGATAATCCGGACCTGAGAGCCCTCAGCCTCTGCCAACAGAATGAGATCATCTGCAAAAAAGAGGTGAGTTAGAGCCGGGCCCCTAGGCGATAGTCTAACAGGTTTCCACACCTTATCCTGGACCACCCGGTCTATTCTATGAGAGAGTCGCTCCATACATAAAACAAAAAGATAGGGTGAGAGGGGATCTCCCTGTCTAACTCCTCGGGTCGGGGAAATGGGCTCTAATAGCTCTCCGTTCCAGAGGATACACATAGCATTCTTCTCGACACAGTACATGATGCAGCGTATCCAAGAGCTTGGAAGACCAACTTCAATGAGAGTGTCCCGAAGAAAGTCCCACCTGAGCCTGTCATAAGCCTTCTCAAGATCAATTTTCATAATCAGCCCTCCTTTCTTGCCTTTTCTCTTCCGCATAGAGTGGAGAAATTCCTGAACAATAAGGATATTATCTGTCGTCTGCCGGCCAGGAATAAAGCTACTCTGTCGAGGGGAGACCAGAGAACTCATAATCGTCTTCAATCTGCTAGTCATGGCTTTAGTGATGGCCTTGAGACTGACATTGTTGAGGGAGATCGGCCTGAGCTGCCCAACAGTCTCGGGATTTTCAATTTTGGGGATGAGAACCACCGTAGATGCAAACATCTCATCTGGGAGCTCGCCTTCCTCAAAAAACGCGATGGCCATGTCAGTAAGAGATTTCCCCACAGTCTTCCAAGAGTGCTGGTAGAAAATAGCCTGAAAGCCGTCCGGGCCCGGGGCCTGAAAGGGTTTCATATCAAAAATCGCCCGATGGACATCTTGTATAGTGAAGGGCCGGAGAAGCTGATTAAGATCCTCGGGGCTGAGGTGAGGGAAGGCTCCTCGAGGCATCAAATCATTGTCCGTCACCCAATCCCCGTTCCATCCTTCAGGCAAGAAATCCTGTTGGCCCTTCTTCGGATTTTGGCTATCTGGTGAAAGTATGAAGTATTCCTCTCCCCGAATTTGACCCAGTTCTCCCGAGATCTCTGGAACCACAACAGTTCTTCCTGCTCCAAGACTTTGTCTAATTCCGTTGCCAGCGTGGAGTGGAGCTTAGCTAGGCCAGGAGAGAAACCATCAGCCAAACGTTTCTCCACACCACTAATGCGAGCCAGCAGTCTCCTTTTCCTTTGAGCTATATTACCAAAAACTTCATTATTCCACCCTTGTAGCTTGGAAGCCAGCTCCTGTAAAGCAAGAGGGAGAGCAGCCTGTGAGTTCCAGGATTCAGCTAAAAAATTGTGAAAGTTTTCATGCGTAATCCAAGCTGCTTCAAACTTAAATGGTTTAGAAGAAGGTTGTGAGACTCCCTGGCGGACAACAGAAGTGAGGATTGGGTGGTGATCAGATCCCACACGAGTAAGATGAAGGACTGTGGTGTCAGGGAACATTTCGTTCCAGCTCAGATTGCACAGGCTACGGTCTAGTCTGCTTGCTTTGAACGTTGAAGCTTGTGAGCCCCTTGACCATGTGAAACGAGGGCCGGAAAAGCCCAAATCAACAAGCTCTGCCTGGTTAATCCATTGGCTAAATCTTCTGCATCTGCGGAGAACAGCTGGTGTACAAAGACCGCTCCTTTCGTCCGGAGAAGAGATAGCGTTGAAATCCCCAGTAAGGATCCAGGGACGAGAGATATTCCTGCTTTCTTCAACCAAACTGTTCCAGAGCAAGCTTTGTGAGTGTTGCCGGGGAGACGCATAGACTGCAGTCAAAAACCAATTCGGCAAATTATTCTGGCAGATGGCTAAAGTAAGGTGTTGATCTCCCGCTGAGTGAATCTGAACATCGAACTGCTGAGCGTTCCAGAATGCCCAAATACCCCCGCTCCGGCCTGTGGCCTCAACACGAGCAACGTCGGGGAATCCAAGCTTCTCGCAGACCGAATCAGCAACCGAGCCACTGCCCTGCGATTCCAACAACATAACAACGTTAGGCCGGTGGTGCTGAATTGCAAGCCGGAGAGAGCGTAAGAATGACCTGCCCCCAGCACCACCAATGTTCCACGACAGAATTTTGAATTCAGGATAATTAGAATTAGACCTAATAATAAGCAAAAAGAAAAGAAGGGGAAGGGGAGGGGAAGAAAGAAATCTGATAGAAGAAGTCAGCAGAGATCGGAGGCTGCAGCTGTCCCCGCGGCCGCCTTATCCGACCCATCCCCCTG